CTATTCTCATTTATAAATTTAAAGCAATAAAGTTATTAATTTACTGATAAGAGGTGTTTATACTAGCGGCATCTATCATATTACTGTTCTATTATGGTAAATAAATGTGTGGAATCTGTCGACATCGTACAAAAACAATGTGAAAAAAATATTAATTTTATTTAATTAAAGCGTGTAATTAAAATGTCAGACGAATCGGAATACGACGTAGAACCAGAAGAATTCGATATTTATAAACGAAAGTACCAATTGCTACTAGATAGATGCGAAGTTTTACAACAGGTTTATATTTGGCTTTAACACTCTGCGCTTCGTATAGTTACTTAATGATTTTGAATACATTGTTAAATATTTTTAATTATAGGAAAATGAGAGATTGGTTTACCGCATCCAACGAGTTAGGAAATTACTCAAACGTACAAGAAAGGAGAAAAAGTTAGTTCAATTTCTAGGTTATGTATTGAATACTACTGCAGTATTATCTGCTACCTATTTTTGAGATAATAACAAGTAATGTATGTGCTTAGTACATAATTATATACCAATAACATACTTTGATAAAATATTTTTTGTATTATAGATTTTTAATTGATCGCTTGGATCAGCATGGTGATCGTTGGAGAGAAGCACCTATGGGAGTTCTTGAAGAAAATAATGTATTTCAAGTAACACCTAAACAAGAAAAAGGTCCAAAAGCCACTGCCCATAATTCCAAAGAAGAAAAAACTAAAAAAGGAACAAAGCGAAAAGGTGCAAAAACAGATCCTAATGCTCCAAAAAGACCAGCAAACCCATTCTTTCAATTCTGTCAAGAACAAAGACCTCGTGTTATGGAACGGCTAGCCGGAGAACCGGAACCAAGTAAACAAGAACTCACTAGACAACTTGCAACCACTTGGAAGTCTCTTAGTTCAGAAGATAAAAAGGTTTGTATTAAAAAGAAATTTATATTTTTCTCTTCCTTGAATTGAATATTTATCACATGAATTTTTCCAGGTATATTATGACATGTATGAACGATCCAAAGAAAAATATGTTGCTGAAATGCAAATTTATAATAAAAAGTCAGAAGACACACCAAATCAGATGTCTTTAAATATAACATAGTATTTGTATTTAAGATAAATGGTATTTGTAAATACGTAATTTATAATCATATATTTGCACATATGTCAATATTTATGTATAGAAAATCGAAGTAAAATTTTATAAATAAAACTAATAAAAATTTTGTTTAGGAAGAACATTTTGTGTTGATTAAAAGAATTATAGAATAGTCATTACTGACTTATCTATAACAATAATACATTTATGCTTTAAAGTTATCCTTCTCCCTTCTAAGAAATGCCATAGTTTGTATTGGATCTTTTTGTTCAGTGTGATCCATAACAGATTGTTCATGAACTCGCATAAACGGATTTGTCAATTTTTCTTCTTGAATAGTACTGGGCACAGTAGGATTATTCTTTTCATGTTGTATACGAACCCATTCTATCTTTTGACGAATAGCTTCGTTTTCTGGCTCGACGTATTTCCCAAACTTCAAATTATTTCCTGTGTACTCATGACCACAATATACTTTCTGTAGAATACATAAAATATTTTTGTTTAATTTGTAAAAATTATTCTAAATGGAAAAATAAGCATAATTATATGCTTACAGTTTCATTAGGTAGTGACCCCAAAATTTCTATAAGTGCTTTGTACATTTGCTCTGCTGTACCTTCAAAAAATCTACCGCAGCCACCAGCAAAAAGTGTATCTCCTATACAGCAATGTTTATTAGATTTTAATCAATTTTAAAAAATAAGCAAATGCATAATTTATTTTTACCAGTAAAAACTGCTGGTGGATCTTGATCTCCTGTAACATAGTAACAGATGTGTCCACTAGTGTGACATGGTGTTGAAAGGCATCGCACTTGTAAACTCCCGATGTTGAAAGTGTCATCATGTTTTACTTTACATGTAAGTGCCTCTATTCTATCATCACCACCATACACTTCAAGATTGTTAAATTTCTTACACAATTTTCCATTTCCTCCAGCATGATCCCAATGGTGATGAGTAGTTAAAACTTTTGTTAAATGCACATTATTTTGTTGAACAGCAGATGCAACACTATCAGGATCAACAGGATCAACAACAGCAGCTTCCTGTGATGCTTCGTCAATAATCTTTGAAAATTAAAGTTAATGTCAAGTGTATTGCAATTACTATAAACATAATACATTAATAATAATTTGTGATTCCAAATAACTTTAAAAACTTTATACGTTATATAAAACAAGGAGCATACAAATAAAAAAATACGTACAAGATACATGTAATTATCTTGAAGAGCTGGTAATATATGAACCTTCATGTTTGGATGTTTTACTATTGTAGAAATACAATGTGATGCATAAAAACCATTTGTTGCAATACTTCTTGCTAGAATAATGAAAATATATTAATATTTAAAATACCATAAACACACTGAACATGTAGTCCAATTAAATATTTAAAAATCTGAAATATTTAAAAAA